CCGTCACATTCAAACAAGTGATGTTCTTCCTCTAATATGTACGCTATATGAACATACGAGCTGCCAAACCCGGCTCCGCCCGGTCCTGTCAAAGTATTCGAATCGGCATGTTCACTTACCCCCCCCCCCCCCCATCCTGCACATACACCCTGCACACCCTGCATACCCTGCACATTATAATAATTATATAATGTGCAGGGTTGTAAACGGGTGTGGTTACGTGACTACAATGGATGCGCACAAACATACAAATTTTCTGCTTTATATATGTACTAGTTGACTTTCCCGGTCCAGCTCGGGCCATTGCTCACCTGCACTGCGAGCCCCACCCCCTCTTATACGTTTTAAATGACCTACTCTGCGACATCCGCTCGAAACCGCATCCTCGTGATCCTGAAGTGAAAATGAGCTTCACCGCCCTCCTTTACATGAATAAGGGAAAACGCTTGATTAAACGTGATAAGCCTTCAATTCCTTAGAATAACGTGAACAAATCAATAAATCGATAGACAGAAGGACCCAATGAATCGCCGCAAAAAGTAGCCTATTATCTGCGCAGGGATCGAAAACATATGTGTGCAAAGTTTCAGCCGAATCGGTTGAGCGGCGCGCGTTTCTATAACGCACGTACCCTCCAAACTAACAATTTTTGAGTTTTATATATACAGGGTGTCCCAAAAAAATGTGAACACTGTTTGATCGTTAATAACTCCCTTGCTTTCAAGCTTTTCGCCGTGTTTGAGGTACCATTTTACAGAGCGAGGTTCAACTTAGACATACAGTATGGGGCGAATCATCGATCGCTCTTCGTTACTGTAGGACTACGGTAGCAATTTTGACAAGGATTTTAGGCCATTGGAGGCCATAATCTGCTTCGAAACAAAACCAAACAGGCCAAAAACTCTTGTACTATGGTAATGGAAGCCGCTGATTGCGAATATGAAATTTACACTTTACTGTGATGCTTTTTTCGAAGGTTATCCCAGGTAAATCGTAATAGCTGAATTTCCAGCATTTGTCAAGAATGTGATTACACCGTCAAAAAAGCTAAAAACACTCGTAAAAAGTTGTGTAATGAATTCAGCATGCACGAAAACCCTAGTACACAATTTTTCAGATTTTTTGAAAAAACTTTTATCAAATGGCATATTTCACAATGAATCCACATGCTAGAAGTTCATACCGTAATCCTACAATAACGAACAGCGATCGGTGATCCACTCCATACCACAAATCTAAGTTGAACCTCGCTTTACAGAATGGTGCCTCAAGCTCGGCGAAAGACGTGAAAGCAACGGAGTTATTAACGATCAAACAGTGTTCACATTTTTTTGGGACACCCTGTATATATAGATTAAGTCGTTCCGAAAGTAATGTCGCTTTTTTCGGATGAACGCCGCTATTCGTGGAATCAACATTTCCAAGAGATCTTAGGAGCATTCGATGCAGCATTTCATCTTCTTTCTAAAGGTTTTAATTCCGCTGCATAATGTTCAATGAGCTCTCGAAAAATTACCAAAATCTGCAATTCATGCTTTTTGCCATTGTCAAATTCGGCTATTTTTCTAAATTTTTGTAACTAACCTCCGAAAAAGTACAAGTGGCAAGTAGATAGAGCAAACACTATAGGACACGGAGTAATTTTTTTCTTTTCCTTAGCTTGCTTCTCAGAGTTTCTACAATCAATTTCTCAATGCCATCAAATTCCATATTTAGTCAAGTCCAAACCTCACAGAACAACAACCGACAATCAGCTCGGGTGTCATGAAGCAGGTTTTTCTCCTCTTTCTAGCGGTTGTTTTTTGTTTCCGGTTCATCAAGTTTTCGGGATAAAATCCCATAATTCAACTTTTCCAAGGGACCCCAAGGTGCACCCGAAATTTTCGAAAGTTGCTAAAACCGAAGCTGGTGAATGCTCGTTTAATTTGTAAAATTGTTGCCAAACCATAATCCATCTTTGTAAGTTTCAAAATCCGAAGACTTGTTGGCGTTTGATGCACTTGTGTCTGAGACAAGCCTGCTAAAATTCGGTGGTTCCATCAAAAAATCTGTACAAAAATTAGGACGAGCTGTGGAAAGTAGAAAAAAGTTGTGCTGTTTTCTGTAGGGTTTGCTCCATCCATCCATTACTTGGACTCTTTCTGAGGTTTGTTATAAAATTTTAGAAAAATTGTGAAAGTTGGCCATCTCAAAAAGCATAGGTCGCAGATTATGACTCTTTTCTGGAAGCTCATTGGCTATATTGCAACAACTTCATAACTATTAGAAAGAGAATGAAATGCTGCATCAAATGCTACCAGAATCTCTTACACATCTTTGTTCCACGAGATGTGGTATACGTTTAAAAAAAGCGACATTGCTTTCGGAACCTAATATATAGAGATATTTTGTTCGTAGATATATACGAAGGCAACGAAATATGACGCAGCCACAAATTCAGATGATAAAAAATACGAATAAAGATCATTATCTCCTATACACAATTTTTCACTATCTTGCACGTTTGCACGTACATATAAAATGTTTTGTGCAAATTGTAGATTAGATTAATATCTTTTCAGCTTCTATAACAGACCTTATGCCATGAAAGCATAAGATTTGCTCAGATACCCAATTACTACTATTATTGTGCAAAGCACAACATGTTTTTGCGCAAACAGAGTAAGCTTTATAAACGTGCAACTGAGTAGGCGTGAAGGTCATGTGACGAGGGTGTGCTTGCATGTTTTTGAAACGGCATTTTATTTGAATCAGGGTTGCGCAGGGCGACAGGCACAAGATCTCAAAAGCGACATTGTTACTCTTTAGACCTTTGAAACGTCGCTTCCTTCCTCTTCTTTACATCCAAAATCTGACCTTTTCGAGCAGATCAGAATGTATCAAAGGGTACTTTGATTTCCGAAAGTCTGTAAGCTCAGCTTTCTGCAACTGCGCTGCTTACAGCTACTTTCTGGTTATGGATGACCCTTTTTGAGAGCAATGAATTCCAAGGAAATGGAGGTTTGACTCTAGATTTTTACTGTGGCAAGAAGAGGTTAGCTCAATACACAAAAGAAAACTGGAGCGATTTCCGAATTTTGAAGGCAAGTTAACTAACTAAGTCAGGCACAAGGTTACAATTGTTCAGGTAGCCTGACCTCTTGAAGGGTTGTGCCTGACTCAATTAACTTTATCTACGAAGAATAATTCAAGATGACCCTTGTAGTTCTTATGTTAGGTGTTTGAACTTACTCCGACTTCTTTTTGTTTTGTGGTAGTCCAAAAAGTTAGAGCACTCGAGGTGAAAATGTGGCGTAACTTTTGGCACATTTCTAAACTCATTCTCAAACCATACAAAGCTTAATTTTTGGCTCAAACTGATAGAGGATTTACTTTGCTTAAAGGCAGTACATCGGCAGAATGAGGCCTATGACAAAACAAGCTCACAGGGTAGGACCCCATATGCAACCTATCGGCCAAAGTCCGATCTTTCTCTGCCACTTCCAACCCCGAAATTTCAACGCGGAAGCAGCGCTCATCTCCTGTATTCTCTGGCCTCGCCCACCATGGGATGGGCGGAGCCAGAGAATACAGGAGATGAGATACCGAATATTATGTTGCTCACGACCGCATTTATGATACTATCGTGAAGTTGTGATGCTGGCGAAGACATAACATTTACCACTTTAGCACTTTCCTTCTTCAGTTTAACGGCAACTTTTATCTCAACAAAGTCAGCGCTAAAAATTTAAAAATGAACCGGAAGGAGGAGTATATTGCAATAATTAACGAACTCGCGCCATATCAGGCACTTTGCGTTTCTGACTAGGTCAGGTCACCTCATAACTATAAATAGGGCAGAGGTATAGTTGTTGCATAGTTGGTGGTCCCTCGTACCCCTATGCAACGATTAAGGTGAGTATTGCTTTGCCGTGGCTCTGGTTCTTTCCCTCGTACTAGCTTCCAAGAAGTGTCTTGCTTCTTCATTGACGTCTGAGGAAAGAGATCCTTATGTATTCGACTTTCTAGGCTCTGACGAAGGCGATTGCGCCGAAACGAAGGCCGAAGTTAATAAAGAGAAATTGCCATCTTGGTCGTGTTACTCAACATCCTGCTGCGGTTCAGCGAAGTCTGTTGATTACGACCCCTCTTCTGATAGTCCTTAATACGACTAACCAAACCGTGCGCGCCTGATGCACGCTCAACCCTCGTTATCATAAAAATTCATTAAGAACGAAGTTTTCGAGTTACATTGAGTAATCTATCTTAAGTTATGGTGCTTAGAGGAATCTAAGCTATAGTACGGTAAAAGCTTATTCCTAAATTGATAAGAACTACTGTTGACATAATAGAAGCAGATAGCTGTTGTTAACCAGCGACGGTGCTCGTGAAGGCAATGGTTCTTGTAGATAAGCTTGGCTTTCGCATCAGAATCTTCCTTAGAAGCCAAGTCCGATAAGGCTTGATGAAGTAAAGGGATGCTAAAGGTGTCAGCACTGGGATGAAGGTGACAAATGTGAGCGAAGTTATTTCTATATAAGGATGATGTATGATGTCTAGTTGTCCTAATGCGTACGTTGCGGCGGTGAGTGAGTAAAAGCAGGGTATGCATGCCTGATAGACGATGGCCTGCAAAGACAAGATTGTCAACAGAAAAGACCTGACGTTGAAACGATACTTTGAGTAACATCGAGTGCATCTCACGAGTTTTTTCCGAAATAGTCTTCATTGTGAGCAGTTTTGCCACGATGCGACTCCTGAGTATCAAAATCACTGTGTAGACGGGGATTATAGGAATATCTTGGTGCACAGCCATGTAGAGTACACCAAACTTCAAAATGCTAAGGTGCCCGCTAACACAACTATCACTCATATCGTAGTGAAAGTATCTTTCCAGTTCCTCTCTAACGATTTGCTCAGGATCACTGGATAGCCCGAATAAGACCTAAATTGATGATGGTCTCTAGAGTTCGACCCAGCAAATCATATTATGCTTGGTAGTTAAAACCACTCACGCATTGTAGGAGACATGGTATGTAAAATAAAAAAATTGAGGCCAATGTTGTGCAAATTTTCGGCGCATTATGATAAAGGACATAATAACGAAAGACGAATGATAGAAGTGTCAGATACAGACCAAATATGTAACAGTGTAACAAAAAGCTGAACCTAAAATGTTTCGGCACATCTAAGTGTGGCTTAAAAGTTAAACGCAAAACCAAATATCAGTTTTGACATCCAAAGAGAATTATGAATTTACCCTATGAAGCAGGTCGAAGATCCAAATACGCAACAAGGACCATAAGACATGTAAAAAAGACTTAGCGCTCGAGGGATCATTCTGAAAGTAACCTATAGAGTAACCCAAACTCTGAGAAACTAATTATGTCATCTTATAAGACTAATTTTGGTTTGTTGTCAGCGGTAGAATCTCTTTTTTTTTGGCAGTTTGCCTAAATGAGATATGAAGTTAAGCAAGCGACTTATTTTTACGTGCAAATAACTAAAATAATATTTAAAATTTTCGTATTCAAATCAGCCTTCAACAAAATTCTTTTGGATACGTGGCTGCCGTTTCTTCCTTACCCCCTATTTTCGAAAACGTGGCTGCCGCCACCCCCTTTCTCTGAACTTAGAGAGCATCGCTCTACCCTCCTCCGTCACCAACTAATCGACACTCTCTCAACCAATGCATTTTACGTACCTTGACTCTTCGTTTTGGACTCTTGAAAGAAAATATTCGAACAGTCGGATAGAGTAAACAAAATGCTACAAAATCCAATACAAACAAATGAGTCTTCACCGCCTCGAAATATTGATTCTTGAAACTTTCAGGTGCAGATTGGGACGCATCAATAAACTAGAATTATCGCAATTTTTTTTCTCGAAGCCTTTATGAACCAGAAGAAAAACCAACTGTCAAAAAGCGGAGAAGAACGTGCATCGAATGACACAATTGATGCTTGCCGTCTGATGTCTACCAGGTTTAGGATAACCAAATATCAATCGGTAGCATCGAAATGATAGTTTTACACAATTTGAAAAGCCAACTATGGATGCCGAAAAACTGTATTACATTTCATTTTGTCTACTCTATCTACTTGTTATCAAAGCATTTCTAAAAGTCCAGAACGAAATATCAAAAAAATTCCAAAATTTAGAGTGTAAATAAAGGTACCAGGGGTTGAAGATTCTGACGATTCAAGAAAGGAGGATAAAATTCTGTATAGATGTTTGCCTGTCTTAATTCCGAATGATTAGAGGATTGGTCTAAGAAAACGGCATGAACTTTCGCACCCACTCAATATATTAGGTTGTCCCGAAAGTTCTGTCGGTTTTTTCAAACTGCTATAAAACTATGCACAATATAGACATGCCTGTACGCTTTTCTTATATTAGTTACAACTTTTCAACCGCCATTTTTATCTGCCTAAAGTTAGGCTAATTTTTTCCGGAGGTAGTTAAGTATGGCACAAATAGAACAACTCTCGGACTACAAGGAGATATTTTTAGATTCTCCTAAAATGCTGTTTTTAGCTTCAAAAAATTATTTCTTCGGAGGTCTCGATTTTTGGCAAAGTCATGAAACACGCAACTGCAGCAAAAACATGAAAGCTCTTGAAATTTTTGCGAATTGAAACTTGATTGCTAATAAACAATAATTATGCAACATAACCAAGTTTAATTTGCTTTGAAAAATCAGCTTTTGGAATTTTCGATAACTTTACGTGGTAGAAGTTATAAAAAACCGCGGTTTTTCTTAAAAAAATAATTATAACGGACTTGATAAACGTGACCCATGTAATCTAAAGTAAATACAATGTAGCCAAAGATTTGCTCTACGTAACAGTTACTAGCGCTCTTCGGAAACATCAGTATAATTTTTAAAATTCAGGAAACATTTGGCATTAGTGCTGAACTGCTCAAAAAGCCATGGCGATAATATTGCAAAGACAGGGTAGATCAGAGAGCAAATATAGCAGTAAGAAAGAGTATAAAAACTAGAATTAAATGATACCTAGATCGTCCATGAATTGGTGTTCTTTGGGTTTTAGTGAGCGATGAAAAAACCGATAAAACTTTCGGGACAGCCTAATATGTGTATAGGCTGTACCAACCGCCATCGGTTGCGAGAAATCAAGAGATGAGGCTTTGAGCGCAAGTCGCAGGAGTAATGTAGCACTCGAGCGCAAAAACTGGCCTGCATCCAGACTTTATCGAAAGGCTCCGGGTCAGTCACTCCGCGCGCGGCGGCCTCTCGTCGCACCCAAATTTTGTGCCTCACAAAAATCTCCGGTGCTAAAGTGGCACCGCGCAAAGTAGGGAGGTGGGGGGGCAGATACATTACACGATGCCATGAGTAACACTGCGGCAGGAGTGTTGACGTGAGCTGAGGCCTGTACTGCCGGACGTCGCGTTGCGGCGTCGCTTCCCGAAAAATCGTGACTTCTGACCGGTACCCTTATCGAGCAACTACCTTCTTTTTGATGTTTCTTTTGGGGTTGTGCAAATACCTTCCTTCACTGTTTTCTTGCTTGAGCGTGCAGATCTGATAAGCTGCGCTTTAGATAGTTAACGTAGTACCAATTACTAGTCCACAATTCCTCTCTGACTACAGGCAATCGCTTAAATGTTGTTTATATCGAGTAGTTTTTGAGTATCCGCAACCCACACGTCATGAAACACTTTGTACCATCCGTTCTGAAATGGAACGCTCGAAACGTTTTTTGCAGACATTCATGCACTTCGCAATCTTCTTCGTCCTGTCGTCTAAGATGATAGGGCAAGCAGAACGAGGTAATGCCAAAGTATCAAATTAATAGTACATGGCGCATAGCGTTTTCGAGCCTTTTAATCTTAACGATAGTATTTCGATCTGGTTTCGCGTAGTGCTCTCTCGAGCGGTTAGCTACCAACTAAAGTGAGGGCAGTTGCTGCAAGCAATCAGCAAGACATGAGCGACACAAGAAAGAAGAAACGAAAGGATACTGCACGAAGAAGCGATCGCGTTTGGTCTAGACGCAGACAGTAGCGCGCTCGAGTACCATTTCCTCCACGTGCAACGCGCGCACAAAACTTCATCTGTGGTTTCTTGCGACCGATGCTGGCTGATACAGCTTATATGTATGTGAGCCATAGGCTCTTATTCTGAACCTGTTAAAACTGAAAACGGACTGTATCAAAAAATCAAGCCTTGAAAAAAAGAGAAAAAAGATGGCAATCTTAAACCAGCGTTTACATCTTCTATAGCAAGAGCATTAAAACCTCGGCCACTTTTCCAGAGAGTAATCTAGTATTTAATGTACTTTAAAAATGGTTTGGAAATTTAAAGTTCGAGAGAGGAATAAGACTTTTGATTGGGTCCCTAATAAGGAAGATAGGCAGCAGCACCGATCGCATTGAAGCCCGAAATATTTTCAGGGATTTTCGGCGATGTGTCTGATTTCAACAAATCATAAGTCAAAAGCAAATCAGACATCTCTAAGAGGGAACCTACCGTATCCTGAAAACTGTAATTCCATTCCAAGTGACATAACTTTTTGAGAAATTCCTTCACATTTTTATATGGTTAAAACATTTCGACTATACTTCCTCAGAGTAAACTAAATTTCAAACACTAGCGGGACTGCGACGCCCGATGGGAAGCGTGAGAAAAGCGCCTGTCAAGATACGGCTGGATACGTTGCTATTTTTTAGCCAAATTTGTAATGACAGAAGATAGTACATAAAACAAACCTTTGTTGCGTGAATATGTCGGCGCATGAGGTGCACAAATTGCAGACAGCGGAACTAAGTATTAACGTTGAGTAGGCTCTAAAAGCCTTTGGAGATTCTTTGGCAGCCAAATATATAAGTAAAGAATTGAAAAAAATACTCAGTAAACCATTGACAATGTGCACAGCAATTGCCATGTAGGTTACAATAGCGATTTCAGCTGGCATTGATTCCATGAACAAGCGCAATCAAGCTCTGATTGAAAAGTATATTATAAATGAGTAAGGAAGATAAAGGTAATTACAACTATTGTCAAGACAGACATGCTTCTAGTTGCATTCTCATGAAAATGTCGTTATAAAAATTGTAATTAAAGATTTCGCATATAAGTATCAAGTTTTTCTAGTGAAGAAAAGGTTTGAGTGTGAGAATAAGAAGATTTTTATGAAAACATTGACAACTTTCGACAAATTTCTTGTTATAAGTGTGGTAATCACGAGCTAGAACTGTTTTTTCAGTCACTCCACGCTAGCTGTATTTTTCAGAAAGGTTCAAATCGTGCTCGTAAGAAGAGTGGAAACATTTTCAACCGAAAACCGAAGTTTTTTCAAGAGCGTTAAGAACTGAGAGCTTGCGTTGTGTCATCTTTTAGCTGAATAACCTGTTTTGCAAAGATTTTTGCAAACTCAGATTTCCTCACATCGCGCAATTTCGGTTGTCACTATCCTCAAAACGCAAGGGAAGGGCATGAACGGGGAGAGGAAACGGTTTTTGAACACGAAATTTTAAGACTTAGCAGCTCGACAACCAAGATCCCTGAAATGAGAGACGCAGATACCCACATTTGAAAAGAAGCTCTATGGACCCTATCTGATTTTCATACGATTCAAAAGAATTATTGCAATACAGAACGAGTCCCTAGCAAACATACTTCTCAGAGTATGTAAACCATTCCCGAAAAAATGCATTTGAGGGAAACTTTGTGAATGTGGTAAGTTTACAATTTCTTGAAATGAGAGCTCAATCAGTGCAGATTCATTGAGCAACTTCACAACTTCTCGAGCACTTGTACTCTTACCTGCTCGTCGGCACGGACATACCGAAATCTGCCACATACGCTGACTTTCCAAGTCAGCGTTTGAGTAAAGGCCAAATTCATTAGAAGTGATTTTTTAGGCGATGAGCGGATACAAAGTTGATGTGGACTTAAACGCAAAAAGCACTGAAAACAATTTTTTCGACTTTTCAAGCACAGCCCTGGACTCGGAGCATCCAGAAGATCAAGGAAGGATGGAAAGGCGCACCTTTTTTGAGCCATCATCTTTGAGACTTTGAAATGAAAATAAATCTGTGGTCTTTCGAACATAGGAGTTTATTTTTCCGCAAAAACACTTCGAGCTTTAGCAGTAACAGCAAGATATCCCTGGAATGAACTACATTTTGAATTAGAATAACAGCAACGCTGTCATTTCAATCAAAAGCTTTTATTCAACTCCGAAAATAAAACTAACAAAATCCCGAAGTGAAGGAAATTCTCGAGGGATTCTTGGAAAACGTATCAGTTAAGCTTCTCCGAAGAGAATGTGTTCGTCGCTCAAAAAAAAACTTTTTGCTTTTGCCGCTGGTTGTGCGGCGTCATATATTTGAGCTGTTTAAGTTTATAGTAACGCTTTATACCAGTTATTTCATTTTCTTATCGCTGTCGCTGCTCTTCATTCACAACACTTCATTCAAACAAATGCGAATTCACTCGGTTTACCAATAATGAGGGAGTGCGGCGAGTGGCGGACCGAGCGGAGCGGGGGCGGGGGTTTGTCGAAATTTATGAATTACTTGCTTGAGCTATAAAAAGGCAAGTGACTTGTTTTTACTTGTATAGGGGCCTGCAGGATCGCGAGAGTCGTACTTGTGTACGACCATTGCGCCGCGCACGTCAGATGTGCGTCCGACGACTCAGGTAGGTGCCAGACTTATGCTGTTGAACAGGATCATTCGGTTCACCACTTTTGCGTTGGACAGTGTAGTTTTGACCTATGAACCGAACGATACGGCTGAAGGAATAAGTTCGGCACCTGCCTTAGTGACTTTGGACGTGCGCGGCGCAATGGTCGTACGCAAGTCTGACTCTCGCGATCCTACAGGCCCTTACATTGAAATTATTGTAAAAATCTCAGCATATGAATTAGCCTCGTAAAAAAATTTCCTCCTGAGCGTGATTGCCGCTCAGTTGCTTCTGCCCTTATTCTTATCGTTGTAAATCTCCTTCCTGAGCTTTCTGCCCGACAACCCATTTTTCCTTTCTTTCCCTCCGGGCCGACCAATTCGGTCAATGGGAGTCCACTAAACGGGCCTTCTCTTCGATTGCAACTTCCTAATTTGTTTTGATCAATACGCCATTTTCGAGCCATTCTAAGACTGACGGCGGCAACGCCGAGTTGTGGGCTACGGCTTAACCCACAGCTTTGACAATGAACTCGGCAACATGAGGTTTTTCCCAACCGCAAAAAAGGAGGAGGTAATGCGTACATGAAGACGTGATATCCTCGTTAGAAGGCGCAAATTGCGCCTGTGCTAACTTTTGTAGTCAATGCACACCACTATATATGGCTGTTATTATTCCGTTGTCATTTGACTTTGCTGTCTATCCTTAATGATGGAGTGTTCATTTCTGTTCAAGGAAAAAGTTAGCGAACCGGCGAGATAGTCAATGGTAAACTAAGATTGCAAGGAAAATCTTTTCAGATTTTTTGGGCGAAACCGAAAACGGAAACGAACGGCAGTTAATGGTAAGTAGATATTTGACTTTCACACGATCTCGCCGCGTTCGCTCTCAGCGGATACGGTATTTTACCACGGTCCGGGGGTGGGCAATGCCGTATTTTTTGGCATCAATGGCGGAGGAGCCTTGGGAATATGCCCCGAGGCAGGTTCGCGTCGAGTGGGAAGGCGGCTCGCGAGGACCCGAGCTGCGTCGACAGCGACACTAAGGTCGAAAGCCCCTGTACAGTAGTCATTTGCAGATTTTTATACCTCGAGTAAAAACAAAAGTTGACGACCCCCTGGAAGCGCCCCTCTTATCTGTCCACCACTGATGCATACGTACGTATACAGGGTGGCCGAAAAGTGTGGGCGTCAAATTTTTCGTTTAATGATTTTTCATAGCAAACAAAATTCTATAAGATTATTTTTGCATGCCAAAAACACAGACACCCTAGTGTATTATTCCTGCAAAACTGGGTTCCTGCACATGCACACTTACCGGCCACCCTGTAGATATAAACGGACTTCAACTTTATATATAAGACAAACAAACTAACAAAGGATCGCTGTGCTGGTCGAGATACATTAGTAGGGGCTAAGATGGGCTTCTTCTTCTTCAGACTTCAGCAGCTTACCTTGAAGTTGATGCGTCCAAAATGCTACTCGAAAAATGTACCCATTGTGAATGCGTTGAAATAACCCGATTATTAATCGAATAGATTCTAAGACCCGAGATTTTGTAGAGCACATTCCCTGGAATAAATCAGTGCCACAACATCATAAAATTCTCCTTTCCAAATTAAGATATGATACTGCAAATATGGTGTTAATTGAACCCGCCGCAGCGCCTCTCAAGAGAAAGTAGATTCAGGAGTCTCGTTTACATCAGAAGGCTTCAGTTTGCGTGATTTTCCATCTTAATATAGAGACTGCCCATAAGCTACAGGCATATTAGCCGTCATGATAGAATATTTCAGAGAAAAAAATATATTACATGTTGTAACGCCCATACTTACCGGCCACCCTGTAGATATAAACGGACTTCAACTTTATATATAAGACAAACAAACTAACAAAGGATCGCTGTGCTGGTCGAGATACATTAGTAGGGGCTAAGATGGGCTTCTTCTATATTTACAATGCTTTCTTTTTTTTCTTGAAAAAAAACTTGATGGAGAAATAAACTTTGAAGGTGACGTACAACTTTCCTGTTGCCTAGTATAAACCAACAGCACTTTCTAAGCTTGGTAAATGCTCTCCAATTTTGGTTTTTCGAAAAATCCAGAAAAGAGTGTGGAAAACAGAGATTTTGCTCAAAAGAATGCCTGGTTTTCTACGAGCAAGACCATAGTTTGCATGTTTTTTGGAAGAGATTTTCTGCAGCGATAATGCTTTCCAGATAAGAATATCGCAGAAAAACTAGGCAAGCATGCTATAAAAAAATTTTGCCCAAAAAATGTTTGGCTATGTAAAATGTCGATCTCAACTCTCTCAGCAAAACCGCAGCTCTGCAGTGTTAATGCTCTCCAAAATGAGATTTTTGCCAAAATTACTTCAAGTACTTGGAAAACAAAGATTTTGCTTTGGAAAAATGCTCGGATGCAAAGTGTCGACTTCAAATTATATCAGCGTGAGCAAGCCTAGTCATGTAGTCTTTTTCGGAAGCAAATGCAAATGCATTTTTTGCATTGCTAATGCTCTATGAAATGAGATTATCGCCAAAAAAGTAGACAGAAAGTTTTAGGTTGTTACATAAGTCTTGTTACACTTTAATTTCTTACGAGGATAAGTCGTGAACTTCACAATTCCGATAGGGCTCCAGGGTACCATTCGATAGAGCAAAGCAAGCTTCACAAGAAAGTATGCAAAAGTTCGCACCAGCTCCGATCCACCATAAGTTTGCAACCGGAACATGAATCGCGCTGAAGGCCCAAAAAATTGCGAAAATTCATATCTTCGTAAAAAAATTCCCAGCATCTCCAACTTGCTCATAAAAAATTGCCCACTATATCAGATACTCATATTTACCGTTCCTGTATTTATTCCTCTCTAGAAGTCGAAAAAGGAAAATTTTTTGGATTTTACAAAAACGAAGCTATGTTGTTTTTATTCATGCTCTGTATACTACAAGCTCTTATATAACCGTAAGTTTTCAGCTTTACAAAAGCCATAGCTTTCGAAAAATACCAAGTTTAGTTTCTCTCACTCGAGTGTTCAGCGCTAAATTAGGTAGTTTTCGAAAACAAAGGCTTCTGGAGAGCTGAAAATTTGATTTACGCTTATACTTCTAAGAAATTGTAGTACTTACAGGGGAAGGATACTTGGATGCCGTAGCCATTCATAATGATTTGTATACCAAAAAATGCGCTTTTGAATGCTGGTTCGTAGACTGTCTTTCATATCTGCGAAACGATAATTTGAATGGAGTTATGATTTTTTTCATTGAAAAAAATTGCGTTCCTGCGGAGGGTCAAAATCACCAATAAAAAAATTTTCTCTCCTTTCCAAATGCTTAGTATGATCCAGATAGTCTAAATAAGTATTACTACGTTTGAAATTTTCTTCAGTAGCATCAAACGGTAGGCTAGATCAAATCTGGTGATTTTTACTATTCAAAAGTAGGCTAAATTTTCAAGGAAAAAAATTCATAACTTTCTTCAAAAGATCGTTTTGCAGAATTCGAGCACAGATTCAGAATCTGCATTCGAAGGCGCATTTTTTTGGTGTACAAATCATTAAAAATGGCCGCGGCATCCAACTATCCTTCCCTTGTTAGACAACTGCATCGGGAAGTTCGCGGGTGCTTGGTCGACCACCAATCATCCATGCCGCGAGGGAACCGATAAGTAACCGCGGCGCATCCTGTAAGCGTCCGATAGTTGACCCGATTAGCATGCTTGTGAGGCTTAGAAAGAGTGAAAAATCCTTTGGCCTGTCTTTCATGAAATGACTTGAGTGCAAATTGAGCAACTTGTTAGCTCATCTGTCGACATCATCTAATGTCGTTAATAACACTCATCCGACTGCCGAAGTTTGTTTCGTAGGCATACAAAGTCAACTGTCAGACATGACAAAACCCGAGAAGCGACTACTTGGGCTTACAAACACTTAGGGTAGCCTCATCGCTGCGGCGTACCTCGCGCGGGTTGTGCCTTAACTTACAACGTGTAAAAAGTGCGGCCTCTGATAAGGCCCGCGACCCACCCGGTGAGGTGATTGAGTCGCACTCTCCCGATAATTTCTTCCCAATTTCAACTTCGGCCGCGGCGTTCTCGGTGAAATATACATGGGCCGCGGCGTGCGCGGCTGAAATTTCAAGGGCTGTGGCGCGCCATCTCAGACAGACGACGGCATACTTCCGGAGCAGAAATGGCAGAGCCGCGGGGTTTCCCCAGCGGGGGATTGCCACTCGTGCTCCGGAGCCCTCCCATTTTGTGCCCCGGAGACCTCCCATTTATGCTCCGGAGTCCTCCCATTTTGTGCTCCGAAGACCCCCCATTTTGTGCTCCGAAGACCCCCCATTTTGTGCTCCGGAACCCTCCCATTTTGGACTCCGGAGTCCTCCCATTTTGTGCTCCGGAAGTCTGCCGCGGCATACTGTAACACTAATTAAGCTCCAAACCCCAATTACGTCTTTAAACCCCACCCAAATTAGCTCTATACCAGCGTCGAGCATGGCATACGACCGCCGAATACGACCCCCCCCGGGTAGGAGCGATCCTCAACCCCGTTCTTTACCCCTCCCTCTTACACCTAGCGTTTGCAGATAGAAGATAGAAGAAAGAAGAGACAAGACATTTATTTCGAGTTAACTGCAAACAATCTACTGCATATCGCAAAACAAAACTTTTGTTGTACATTGCGTTGAGCTTGAGTTCGCTTCTGTCCATAGGTATCATCACGTTTGCTCCACGACGGCTGCAAGTAACGAATAGATGCAGTTGAGCGTATAGTAATCATACGTACTGTCGCTCTGCTTGTTTTTCCTACGAAAACCATTATATGAGAAATCAGCGAGTGCCAAAAACCGGCTACCTGCCCTTTCCTCCTTCATTCTCCCCTATCTGACCTCATGTCTCCGCTTTTTTGTAGAATTGGAAACAGGAATATTTTGGGCTGATGCTGCAAACTCTTCGATGCGTTTTAGCTTTTTACGTGTCATAAAAGAATCACGTGAACTACTTAAGAGGTCCACTATACCATGAATGTTAATCCGTATTAGTGCCAGAAATAAAAACAAGCTAAAAGGCGAAGTTCAGAATAGATGCTTGCTCTCGGATTGTGCCAGAAACGGCATATCCTATAGTACCTCCAAGGCCAGTAGCACCTTCGAGACCAGCTATTCTAATACTGCGACGAGTAGTGGATGCTGTTTTTGCGCCATAACTGAGGATTGTGACTGAAGGATTCATATGAGGAAGTAATATACATTTGAGGACGCAAGCAATACCGCTTCTGCAACTACTGGTTTTTTTCATATGCTACAACATATACAATATATATCATTCATCCTCTGACTAAGAGACGCTAGCAAGCTCTGCGTACGTTTAATCAACAAGTTCACGGACGAGTTCTACCGCGTTTTGATTATTTAATATCAGAAATACATAAAAGAAAGTGTTCAAGCCAGCGTGGTTCAACGAGCTTCCACGAAACTAATAGTAGATCAAACGCGGTAGTAATCAAACTCATTCATGAACTTGTTAGTGAAATGTACGCAAAGCGCGCTCTCGTCTCTTAATCAAAGAGTGAATGATAACATATCGTATGACGAGTAGAGTCTACAGAGGCGTGTGCCTTTCGCGTGCATTGAGCCTCACAAGATTAGCTCACGTCAACATAAGCACTCCAAAAGAAAAAAAACACTCACAAAGAACTGAAATATGTCCGCCACAGATGCCAAACGGAGCGTCGCTTATGAGCAGCATATAAACTGACAAGGTCATGTAAACAGTTTGAACGATGTTGTTTGTTGGGCAAAGGATCAAGCCAAGAAACGAATTAGAGTGGGACTTTGATGCTCCACATATCCGCAGCTAAAATGACTTTGTTCCAACGTCATGTATAACCCACCAAAAGCATAGCAATCCTCACCTCACCTGCTTCTAATGCTAGAGTTGAAAGGAATGACGGAAGCAGTACGATGGATGATAAAAAATAAAAGTGATTCCTTCCAGCTTGTATGACTTGGTCAGAGTAATAGGCTGATACATTCGAACAAAAAGACAAGTCCTAGAAACGAAAGTTTAGGATAAGCTGAGCAAGCATCACAATACCTGGTCATGATGTGCAAGGCAGACTTTTTCGTACATGAGATTCTGGAAGACTGGGTACCTCAGAAAGCTCGTGAGCATGTAGCGAAACAGGGATCTCCGCAAACACTTTCCTAAAATGGAAAGTTTCCCAATGTGAGAACGATTAAGACCGAAGAGCTAACCAGGCTTACTACGACCAGCGCGACCAGCACGTTGCATAGCACTAGCTTTAAATATCGGTCATACTAATAGTGACTCAACACGAATTGTTTATAAACTTTTTGTTTCGACATCCAGGATCTATCACAAAAACAACTCCATCAATAGTCAATGATGTCTCAGCAAGTCGAAAAGAGCCAAACATAAAAGTGACTAAGTGCATCCGCACGAAAACCTAAAACCTGAAACCTGAAAAGAAGGAACTGAACAAATAAACGCCCAAAGCGCCGAAGAGCAACACGAAAAAGAAGAACGGAAAAGAACGCGGAAAAACGACAGCAAGTCGAAAACAAGAGCCGAACACCAAAAGCGATTGAGTGCATCCGCATGAAAATCCGAAATAACCCTGAAAAGGAATAACTTAAAACAACATAAACGCCAACGCGCGACGAGAACACGAAAAACCAAAAAAAGAAAAGCGAGCGCGAAAGAACGAAAAAAAGGGTAAGTAGAGAGCGACGGCAACTTATTTTCGAAAGTGCTAAGCTACGTATCACAGCAAATTGGCTGCGTACCTATTGTGCTCCGGGGATGTCCCAAACCTGGCGTACCTCCGGAGCGCAAATCTATGCTCCGGAGCCCTCCCATTTTCTGCTCCGGGGCCCTCCCATTTGTGCTCCGGAGACCTCCCAATTGTGCTCCGGAGCCCTCCCATTTTGTGCTCCGGAGGTGTCCCAAATCTGGCGTACCTCCGGAGCAGCGCAAATCTCTGCTCCGGAGCTCTTTCAAATCTGGCGTACCTCCGGAGCAGAGATTTCCGCGTCCCGGAGAGAGGTCCCATTCGCCCGCTTGTAACGTCACCGTGACCTACAAGAAGGGGCCGCCCCCTCGCCCCGCTCTCAATGGTCAATTGAGTCCTCCGCGGCTCTGTCAGATTTCGTCTGTCCTCCGGAGCTATGGCACGACTGTCTGAGATGTAACACGCTTTGAGGCCGCGAACTCCCCGATGTCTGAGTATACAGCTACATGAATAGAAACAACAGAGCTTCGTTTTTTGTAAAAACTGAAAATTTTCCTTTTCTCGATTTCTAGATGAGGAAGATATACAGCATAGGTACATATGAGTGTTTGATATAGTTGGCAATTTTTATGAGCAAGTTGAAGTTTTGTAAGATTTTTATGAACAAAGATATGAATTTTCGCGATTTTTTGAGCCTTCAGTACGATTCATGTTCCGGATGCAAACTTACGGTGGATCGGAGCTGGTGCGTACTTTTGCATACTTTCTTGTGAAGCTTGCTTTGCTTTGCTATCGAATGGTACCCTGGAGCCCTATTAGAATTATGAAGTTCACGACTTATCCTCGCAAGAAATGAAAGTGTAGCAAGACTTATGTAACAACTTAGTACTTATGTATTCTTTTTTCCCGGTAAAATGCATTTCTTCTACGGTGTCAGTGCTCCTAGAAATGAGATTTCAGCCGAAGTATACGAAAGTATTGTGGAAAACAAAGATTCTCAAAATCGTAAATTTTTTTGTCATTGATATTCGATTCAAGAAATTTAAGCTTTGATTTGTGTTATTGTAGGAGTATTTTTGCATTAAACAAATTCATTATCATTTTGAGACAAAAAATGGTTCTTTTTTGTATATTAATAACTGCTTCGGCATTAATGGCTGTACAGTATATATTTAAAGGTTAATTATACCATCTGATACTGGAAAACTAGTTTTTTTCGGCCATCAACATTCTAAAATGAATAAGTATCACCCTATTTCCTCATATTAATTTTCATTTCTTTGTTTTATTGATAATTACATATTCCCACCTGCTGTAATTGGCTCTGCAAAGTGTCGACCCACCTCTATTAGTAAGACCACAACCGCTTGATGAAATGCTCAAAGTTTTAATGATTGATGAGTATGATCGGCTGCACGAAATCGCCCAGATCGCTGTAGGCTGAACGCCCACGTGCGTGCTGCAACGCGGCTGCCGAATAGCTCAGGGACTCGCGCCGTGCCGGCGGCCAGCGACGACACTACAAACGCTCGTTGGTGTGTGCGATTTTGCGGTCGTCAAGAGCCGATCGTACGGGTAAGATGTGGCGCACGTACGATACTATCGCTCGCCGCTTGCGCGGGGAAGGTGGACCGCTTGCTCGCTGTTGGGGTAACGAGATACCTTGTTTTTCTCTTTGAGTATGTTAGTCTTTACATCCGCGAACGTGGATCGTGCAGTATCGGCCCTACAATTTATGTTTTGGAAGTCTACACTTACTCTTCTGACCATGCATAAACTCATCTCAGACAGTCGATCGGACCCCTCCGCCGGACAGTCAAAATCTGCCAGAGTCGCGCCGGACCCAGTTGACCAATGAGAGCGGGGCGATTGGGCGGTCCCTTCTTGTAGGTCGCTGTGACATCACCGGCAAGCGAGGGGACCCTTCTCCGGATCTGCTGCAAAGGTACGCCATTTCTGCTCCGGAGGTACGCCAGATTTGGCAGAGCGGCGGCGGAGAAATTTGCCCGCCGCGAGTCCGCCAGATTTGGACGAGCCGCGGCGCAGAAAATCGGAGGGGTCCGGCATAGAAAATCGGACCTCTCCGGCACAGATTTTCGGAGGCCTCCGGCACTGAAAACCGGACCCCTCCGGCACTGAAAATCGGACCCCGCCGGCGGGGTACGCAATCAATTTGCTGTGATACGCAGCTTAGCATTTTCGAAAATAAGCTGCCATCGCTCTTGTCTTACTCTTTTTCTCTTTTTTTGTCGTTCTTTCGCACCCGTTTCTCTTTTTTTGGTTTTTCGTGTTCCTCGTCGGCGCGTTGGCGTAATTTGTTCATCTCCTTCTTTTCATTCAATTTTTAGGTTTTCGTGTGGATGCACTTAGTCACTCTTAATGTTTGGCTCTTTTCGACTTGCTGAGACATTGTTGACTATTGATGGAGTCGTATTTGTGATCAATTCTGGTTTTTGGAAACAAAAAGGTTAGTCTGTCGCATTCTTGCTAAATGTAGAGGTGGTTATTATCTCATTGTATTGATGGGGTTGTTCTCTGTCTACAATGTCTCTTTTCTCTATCTGCTTATATGAAAGAAGTAGCCTTGTAGCATTTGGACACTTTATGTATCTGGTCAATCTGTGTACAGCGTGGTCCATATCCTTTTGGAGTTGATCCCATCTGGAACATTGCCGGTAATCGCCTATCATTTTCGAACTCCATGAGGATGAAAATATCTGTGATCATTGGCGTTTTGCACATGACTTTCGGCTTGTTTCTCTCGCTTCTGAATCATATGTGGGTACCTTGGGTTGTCGTTTTCCTTCGTGTCAATGTTATAATATGTGATTTAGGTTTTACGACTCGAAGGTGGATATACTTACGAATTTTATTCCGCAAATATTGTTCCTCGGCTGCATTTTCATCTACCTTTGTGGACAGATGTTTGTCAAGTGGTTTTTTTCCGTTGAAAAGGGCGTCGTGCTAGGAATGCAATATCCCGGTATGCAGCTTTTTACCGAATTACATTAAATAATGTCAGAATGTCAAAAAATGATGATGTCAAAAAAATATAGGTCCAAGTTGTGCACCATCGCTGCTTATAGGTTTAATCAACATGTTTATGCTGAAAGAAAGGCCAGTGGGCCATTTGATGGAGCACAACAGTACAGTTGTTCATCCTACATGCTATCTGAACCAGTGGTATCCGTGCTTTACAGGATGATTCGGAACATTTGATCGCTATTGATCGTTATCTACGTGAACACTCATTGAGTGATGCTTTCGTTCACCAAGCTATTCATGCGATCGAATTTGTTCTTGGTTGTGTGTCACACACGGCATCATATTTTCGATTATGGGCGCTAAGTCTCGCACAGGCTCGTGAGTTATTCTCTGACTAATTAGGTTTTGTTATCTGAAGCGAGTGTCATCCAAGCCAAGTAGACAGTTAACTCATTCTCTAGAATTTTCTCTTCTTCATGCATCGCAGTACTTCTGACTCCTTTTGATGATTTTTTTGTCGAAGTGATCTGAAGGACATTTCTGTCGCGGTTTTTCATTCGTTCTAGCAGCTTTTTAAGAAGTGACTGTTAATCGTCGTTGCGAGAAGAATAGGAGAATTGTGTTGTAAGGAATTCTTGCTAGGACTACCAACGGAGCGTTGTTAGCTCAGTTGGTAGAGCGTTAAAGTTTTAATCTAACGGTCAGGGGTTCGAGTCCCCTACGCGGCTAACTTTTTGCAGCACTTCAGAACTACTGCGGTTTTTCTGGAATGTTCTTGATTCTATATAAGTCTGTGGATTTCATTACATTTGAAATAAATGTTTCGTCTTGTCTTCATTCTTCTATTTTCTATCTACAAACGCTAGGGGTGAGAGGGAGAGGGTAGAGTACGGGGGTGAGGGTCGCGCTGAAGTCCTACCCGGAGGGGAGGGGTCGTATTCGGCTAATTTGGGTGGTGTTTTTAGAGACATAATTGGGGTTTGGAGCTTATTTAGGGTTAGTTACAGTATGCCGCGGCAGACTTGCGGAGCACAAAATCGGGCGGCTCCGGCGCACAAAATGGGAGGGGTCCGACGCACAAATTTGGGGGGCTCCGGCGCACAAAATCGGGGGGCTTCGGAGCATGAGTGGCAGACACCCCGCTGGGGAAACCCCGCGGCCCTGCCATTTCTCCGCCGGAGGGGTCCGATCCGCTGTCTGAGATAGATCTTCTTCGAGTTCATGGTTAACGAAGATCGCGCTGCCGATACAGACATGTCATGACCAATGGCAGCCTAAACGCTGCGCCGTATCTCACGCAGGTGCCGTTTAGGCTCGCAGCGTGTGACAACTATGAGGAGAAAATTAAGGTCACTGTCGGCCGCTTGCACGACCAGTTTTGTCATCCGATCAGGCGGGCACATTGCTGGTCGCTCGCATGGACAAATGTACTGCCGCCCGATCGCACGGTAACATTGCCTGCCGCTTTTCATTGTTCGCCGACGCACGGAAGCTTTAGGTTTATGTCGGCCGTTTGGGCGCTTATGCCTGTAGGAGGACCGCTCGCACAGTGCGAATCCCTGAGAGCGCCATGATGACTCATGCGCGCGAATACCAATGTTCTCAGATGATAGCCGGGGGCAGGCGGCCATGCGATTTATGCGCGGGCGGGCACCGGAAAAATAGTTCGCTGATTTCTTGCGGTCCGCTTGCAGATATTTGGAAGAAATTTAGCGAAATTTTGAGAACGCTTAGAGAACAATTGCAATTTCCTTATAGATTGCTGCGGCGGAGGGCCACACGGTCCTTTGTGAAGGATCGCGAAGCCCCCAGGTACTTTCCGCTGAAAGAAAGTACCTCAAATTTGAGTAATTGCACCAACGGTAACACCTCTACCACACAGAGTCTTACCTGTGCTCAACGTAAGCCCGAAACTGCGTAAAAAGAGTCCGAGCGCCTGCTGAAAGTTCGGCCAGCGTTTGGTGAAAGAGATCATTTGACGAGCGCCTGCAGAAAATTTTGTGTTGCTGCCCGCTGGCAGAACATTAGACAGTAAAGGAGATACCGCTCGCTGAAGGTTTGGCCACACCTCAAAACCTGCTGACCGCTTGCAGAAAAGCGCGAGTTTGCGGACCGCCTATCCCCTGCGATTATCTGAGTGGGCGACTAGAAATAGTCGGGCGGCGTTACATTAACCCGCAGAGAGCTTTAGGGCAGGGAATTTGTCCTTATTTAAGCATGTAAATCCCCATCATAGATTCCTGTTTTTTGATCGAGAATCTTAATTTCCTCTTCAAGTTTCGGAAGCTGTTAAAGGGATTGAGGGGTAAGGGACTTTATGTCGCCGAAAGTGGGAGTTCTCGCCGAACATCTGCAACAGGTATACCTTCCCATGCATGCACAAGCTGAGCATTTGCTGCATTGTCCGCGCGGGACCCTCCCACTTCCGGCGACATGTAGTCCTTCACCCGTTCAGAGTTCATGTTAAAAAGAACCGTGATGATCAAAAATTCTCCAAACTGTGTCGCTCGTTTATCTACGATGAAACATATTTCAAATGGCTCTTACGAAAATTACATAGTAATGTGTGTTTTTTGTCTTTTAACGAGTTCCTTTACAGGTTTTGTGGCCCTCAAATGAGTATTATAAACTAAAACAAAGATAGTTTGTAACCTCAAGAGGATGAAAATTTTAACATTGCGAGGCATTCTGGCCAAGTTTTACTAGAATGAGAATATGAGAAACTACGTGCTACAAACGTGCTGTCATTTGATTGGTCCCCTTGCGATGACCCACTGTCGAAACCTAGAAATCGGTTCACACTTTACGATACTTGCCATTGCCGACGGCAATCAGTTCGTGATTTCGGACGCACTTTCTTGTTGCGTGCGTTGCCTGCGTTCCTCTCTTACACCGTAGGACCGAAATTATCATGTATGAATCCCTGCAATACCGTATGATGTCTTGACTCTGATCAACAACCACTTTGCCTACGCAATAACATGAACTTCCGGAGTAAAGACGAAGTGACATTTTGTCAAAAGTTCAGTCTATAACATTAGCTGGTATCCCCCGTCTTACTCGGGGACGGTCAAGAGGCGCAATTTTTCTGGCTGTCACCAACTTAAAGCTCCAGTTTAGGGCTATGGGAGGGTTCAAAAAGTGCCGGACGAACTCCATAGCTTACTAGCTGTTTGAGGTAACAACTGATAAGCTTGACGACTTTTGCTAGAAAACTGACCAGATTATTTACAAATTTGCTATCAAGTGCAATTCCAATGGTTTTTGACCTTCAACAATTTTGTCTGGAATCGATTTCAGGATGATGAGATAGAGCACCCTGTGCAATTATCAAAATTATACTTTTGAGATTTCAAGTAATTCTAGAACTGCGTAAAACACTAAATATGTACTATAAGCTGCCCATCTGGCAATAAGAATCTCGCCTCTTGACATACACCCGTCTTACTCGGGAAATTGTCTCTTTTCGGATACTGCGCTGCAGACTTGGAGGCACCCTTCAATGCGAAATGAAAATTAGTCCTTCCTTTCATTTTCACGCTAAAATGTTTGGTAACAAATGATAAGAATTTGTTCTCAATGCAGAGTGCCAAAAATCAATGAAGCAAACCCTTCCCTGTGGTTGATGAATACGGCCAATGAACCCTGAGGGTTAAACTAACCTTGGGGTAAATTTAACCCTCAGGGTTCGTTGATGAATACGGTCACTGGTTAGGGGCTGAAAAGGCTAGAAAGGGGGCAAATAGGGCTAGAAAAACGCGATTTTCGCTTATTTTTCCTTGTTTCTTCTGAATTTTTCTTATTTTCTTCAATTTCGATCGTGATAGGAGGTTAAAGTGGGCGGAGCTCGCTTGGAGGAGTTTCGGCTGTATAAAAGCACTGGAAATGAGCATATTATGGAATTTTCGAATTTTTCGCTTAGTTTTTCGCTAATTTTACCGATTTCCGAAATTTGGAAACAGAATATTGATTTTATAGATTTTTGTCAATTTGCAAGATTTCACAACCCTCCAAATATCGATTTTGTCGATTTTCGGGATTTCGAAACCTTCAGAATATCGATTCTGTCAATTTTTGAGGATTTGGTGGTTTACTAGCCTCCAAAATATCGATTTTTCGCTGTGAACTGTAAGCCCCATCAACTTTTGATGTTGCTTTGCAAAGCAGCACAATCGGTTTGCTGGCGGGTTTTCTATAACGAACGAACAACCAAACGAACACACTCACAATGTGTTTAAAGGGGCGACGCGTAGTGGACTCTCACACCTTACCCTGTGCTGCAGCGTGCAGGGACCATGCCCGTTAGGCGGAGTGATCCTTGTTTTAGCTACTCTTTCTGCTTTCTTCTTAGCTTATTCGCTGCCCTGCTTCCAAATTTCTGAGCTTTTCCTGTCTAATAATCTACTGCGGTACTCCCTGAGATCTCTCAAAGTATCACCGCGCGAATCGAAGACGAAATGGAGTTTTTCTGGGAACGGCTGGCTTTTCCTCCTTACAGCTATAGGTGAATATGTGAGGTGTGATCGCATATCGTACAGCTTGAGAAAACAGTTTGAGTCCTCGTTTTTTGAGTTCAAACCTGAACCATATACCATAACCAAAAGGCTTGAAAAGCGTCATAAAGAAAAATGCTTAGCGATTTGATATCTTCTTCTTTTGCTACGAAAAAATCATATCCGATATCAAGGCAGATTACAATTGAGCATAGAAGCAAGAAAATGGCAATCCGCTCTGTAAAAACGGAAAATTACGAGATACAATGATTAAAAAAGGCGCAATGTTGTGCGCAGCGCAGGAGAGCTCAATATGATTCCGCAGCGAGCGCATGCAGTAACTTAATAACAAATGTGTAAGCCTTCGACGATATGCCGCTTGCAAAGGGGGAAAGAGATGGGAAAGGAGATGGTTGCTTCATATTAGGCTGCTGCATAAGTTCTGTCCGATTTTTTTGTCTTATGTTCGAAGCAGCTGTTCTAGGAGATTTTCATTTTCAATGCAATGTTGTTAGTATAAGAAAGAGCTTTTCC